GAATAAGAAACAAAATAAAACCAGAAATCAGCGATGAACAATGTGGATTTGTAGAAGGAAAAGGTACAAACAATGCCATATGAATCCAAAGGACGTTGTCAGAAAGAGCTATAGAAGTAAAGATTAATTTTTCATAGACTATACAAAATCATTTTACTGTGTGAAGCATGAATAAGTAATCAAACTGTTAGAAAAATTAAACATTGACGGAAAAGATCTACGAATAATAAAGAATATGTATTGGCAGCAAACAGCAGCTATAAAAATTAACAACTGTTTAGGTACATTTCAAAACATAAAGAGGGGCGTACGACATGGATGTGTACTGTCACCTGATTTGTTTTCAATATACAGTGAATATATAATGAGATCTTTAAGAATTGTGGTTGGTTGGCACAAAATAAACATTTTACGTTATGCTGATGACAGTCTTGATAGCAACAAGTCAGAAAAACTACAGGAAATGATAGACGTTGTGGTGTTAGAAAGTGGAAGAAGGGGCCTCAGTTTGAATAACAGGAAGACAGAAGTAATGGTGGTATCAAAGAAACGAAATATTCCTAAATGTGTAATAAAAGGCGATGGTGGTATTTTAGGCTAAGTTCACAAATTTAAGTATCTGGGCACATGGATAACATCAGATGGAAGATGCATCACTGAGATAAGAAACAGAATAGGACAGGCAAAAACTGCATTAAAAAAAAATGTAAAAACATCTGGTGCCATATATCCTTGTCATTGATAGTTAGAAAAAGAATTATTGCTTGCTACATACATGCAGTTTTAATATATGGCTGTGAATCCTGGAAAATTGGTAGGCAGGCCAAACAATTTCTGGAGGCCTCGGAGATGTGGTTTTACAGAAGAATGCTTGGAATACCTCGGACAGCCAAAAAGAGCAGCCAAGAGGTTTTGAGAGAGGCGGGAGCCTGAAGACAACTAATCACAGACATCAGAAGGAGACAGTCATCATTTTTCGGCCATGTTATGAGAAGAGGGAAAATAGAACATGTTGTGACCACTGGAAAAATCTGTGGAAGGAGGGATAGAGGAAGACAACAAGAGAAGATGCTTGACACTTGTTTAACGGCATGGAGGTGTGTCGGCACACGAACTGATACATGCTGCAGGAGATAGCAGATTGTGGAGAGACATGATCGCCCACGCCAGTCGGCAAGGAACCTGATGATGATGATGGACATATTATAAAATCTAACGGCCTCTCAAAAACAATACTGCAGGGCTCAGTAGAGGGAAAAAGGAGAAAAGGCAGACCAAGAAAGACCTGTTTACAGAACCTGACTAACTGGACAGGGCTCAGGCATGCAACCATGAAGTCCATCGCAACTGACCGCCAAAGGTGGAGAGAGCTAATCAGACAGTCAGCACAAATGGGAACCCAACGACATGTAGTTTTACGGGATGATGATGATAAAGAGACAAAAAGCAATAGGAGCTTTCATAGCATAAGGGAATCTGTGGAGGTCCAAAGGAATTAAAAGAAATACTAAACCTACAATTTTTTAATTCTAATGTCAAATCAGTACTTTTGTATGAAGCGGAAACATGGAGAACAACTAAGGCAATTACTAATAAACTACACACACTCATTAACTGGTGCCTGCGCAGAATAAAAGGAATTAAATGGTATAATAGAATCACTAAAGTAGAGCTTTGGGACAGAACTAAGCAAGCTCCAGTGGACCAAGAGGTGAAGAAAAGACGCTGGCGTTGGAAAGGACAAACATTGAGAAAACTAGAGAACAATATAACTAGAATGTCATTGCACTGGAATCCTAGGGCGCACAGGAATAAAGGAAAGCACACAAAAAAAAAAAAAAAAAAACACGGAGAAGGGAGCTGGAGAATCAAGTTATGAAGTTAAAAGATGGGAAGGACATGTGGAGATCTGCATGCGATAGCAGAAGGCACAACAAGAATGATGTGTCGAATAAATACCAACTAACCAACTAGCTAACTCAGTAGACATTTTTATTGGTTGTCTTGTTACCTAACTTTTCTGGTTCCTTTAGTCCTTTGCCCCCAATATCGTTTAGAAGGTGGTCAGCAGCAGGGAAACCTTCTCCATTACCCACCAACATAAACCAGGTATAGACGTTCTCTTAAACAAGACTTAAGCCATTTTAGCCCGCCTCTGGAAAATTAAAAGGTAATGTGTTCGTCGTTCATTGAGTGGACTGTCTAAAACTAATCTCGGTTGACATAGTTTTAAAATGGTTCATATGAAATACAGTGAAAACTAAAAGCGACCACCGAAATCAAGAATTATATCGTCACAAACTGGGTCTATCACCCACCAGAAACAACAACTACAGCACCTCTAACTGGGTCTGCAACCCTTAAGATCCAGGACGTAATTAAACGGACCCAAGACTCCATATCGCCACACTCCATCTGTGTCTAGCTCTACATCCTAGCCCTGATAGCTCTACATCCTAGCCCTGATAGCTCAGCCATGCCTCTCCCCTAACTTTCAAAACCTGACTTAGAGATTAGAGCGATTAAGTTAAGCAACGTCATTTCCTTTTCCATGAAGATCCGACATAAGGCGATTTAGAGTTGAACTGACTGGGACTGGCGGATGAACACGGCCCTTTAATCTGATCAGGCTGCGAGCTAAGGCACCCAATTTGCCTAGCTCATTTTTTGCCTCTTACTCAGCGGCCTCTGTGAAATGGGACAGACTTCTATCAGGAAAAGCAAACAGATTACTTTGTCCTCGTTGAAAACATTTTAAAATATTATTATAGCATTTTCGTCCATCGTTCTTGGGCGTCTGCCTGAAGCCTTTCTGAGCGATTATTTTTCAGGAGGCTGGTCTGGTTTGGTATTAAGGACAGCGGCTTTTCTTAACAAAGGGCGTGTGTTCGATCTACTGTATTTTTTTTTTTTCTGTAGTCCAGTCTAACGGATCTTTTCGCCTAGGTCGACCCACCCTTAAACTCGTATCAGCTAAACGGCGGCCGATGTGATGTTGAGCACATCAACCAACAAGGGCAGATTGGTCTATCAAATATATGTCTAGCTTTTTATGGTCACTACGTTTGAAGACTAGATCTTTCTTCTAGCCTGAAGGGTTCTGACTTTAGTTACCCTTTCATGTTGTATGGGCGGCGTCTGTGGCTTAGGCGTTGTGATTCCGTCTCGTAATTCCAACTTACCGAGCTCGAAACACACTGCTGGCTGCGGGGATTTTTATCATGGTATGGGGCGTCGCAGGTCGATCCAGCCTAAAATGGGTACCAGGATGTACGTCCTGGGGAAGTAAAGACGGCCGGCATAATGCTCACTACATTACCCAGCTAGTGCCGATTGGTCTGTAGAATGTGGGTGATCTTCCCACATGCCCGATGTGCCCAAATGCGTGAAATGGGATCTTCACGTTTACTTTTTACTTTTCAGGTTGTATCTTCTTCTTCTTCTTCTTCTATTCCACCTTGTACCTCATCGAAGTGTCGGGGGGAGATGAAATGTTCGTTGATGAGCTCTGTCAAGAGCACTATTAAGACTGATGTTCATTTCTGTAAGGCTGTTCTTAATGCCATCACTCCATCTTTTCCGAGGTCTTCCACTCGCTTTATACCCGTTGTAACGTTTTAGTGTGGCTCGCTGTGGCAGATAGTACCAGGGCATTCTTGTTAGGTGTCCAAACCATTTCCTTTGTTGTTCTTTGATGACCTGTAAGACTGGCTTTATTCCTAGCATTCGTCTGATTTCATGATTTTGTATTCTGTCTGTCCTTGAAACTCCTGCAGCTCTTCTAAGGCATTTCATCTCTGTTGTCACAATTTTACGTTCATTGGAGGATGTAAGTGTCCACGTTTGGCACTGATAGCATAGTATTGGCCAAAAAATAGTTCTGATAAGATTCACTTTAGTACTCTGAGGTATCTGCTTGTGTGTCAACAGGGGAGATAGTTGACCCATTACTTGATTAGCTTTGGCACATCTGGAGCTAATTTCTCTGTCCAGTTTTCCGTCTGAAGTAAAAATTGCTCCCAAATACTTAAATTCCTCTGTTTGTCTCAGGGTGTTGTTTTTTAATTTAATTTATAACTAACTTCATGGTTGCATGTCTAAGGCATATTCAGTCAGTCAAGTTCTGTATCCATTAGTCGTCATTAGTCTGGCTCGTCTCCTCAGGTTGTATACACACATATAAAGGAATGTACGCGTGCTGACTGCACTGAAAGAAGAAGATTAAAAGACTCATTGATTAGAGTACATTGGAAAATCCACGTAATTATAGGACGCACTTTGTACCATTGGCGTGGAGGGCATATGGTGCTAGACCTATTTTAGCTTTCTAAACCAATAGGCATTCGATGGGCGATTAGGTCCACATCATCCTGGCCGCTTCTACTTACCAGGGACTTTACTGGTTCTCATGTTTCTTCTGGGTCGTCATAGAAGAACTGTGTCAGTTATATTTACTTATCGTATGTGGATTCGAAACCCGACCTTCGGGCTTGCAGGCAAGCGTCTGGCCTCTACAGTAGCATACTAGTCTGAATGGTTGCCCTAGCTTCTCTGGTAACACCAGGTACATTCTTGCTCCGCTAAGTTGCCATGTTTCGTTCTGCCATTATCATCATCATCAGCGTCATCATCATCATCTCTGGACCACAAGCTTCTGTTGGCTGCCTGATCAGCTCTCTCCACCTTTGGTGGTCAGATGCAATGGACTTCATGGTTGCACGTCTAAGGCATATTCAGTCAGTCAAGTTCTGTGTCCATTAGTCGTCATTAGTCTGGCTCGTCTCCTCAGCCCAGCATTTTTTTTTTAAAGAGGCTGTTAGATCTTATTACACGTACGTACCCCTGCATTTTTGGTCTTGTCACTATAAGAAAAGAGTTTCACAGTTGAAAGTGTGCTGGCTAATTCATTCTACCGCGTCTGCTAGTATGCCTTTGATAAGTTTCTTATGTAGCCTCCCGGCATAAAAATGTCAATGTTTTTCATTAATTGTCCTCTTAAGGCAACGAAAGCCTGGCCGGAGCCCTGCAGGACTCCAAGCTTGGGTTTGTGGTCAACGCAGTGACCACTATGGCTAGAGCTTTACACAACATGCACCAGGATGTGTGTGCCGGCAGCAAGAAGCTGTGTCCAGCCATGGAACCTCTCGATGGAAGTGTCTTCTTGCAGTACCTCCTCAACGTCAGCTTCCAGAGCTACAGTAACGACTCGGTGCACTTCGATAGTAATGGAGATCCTCCAGGGAGGTATGTTTGCTTCCAGTGTTGGTTTAGTTTTCTCTCTCTCTCTCTTCCAGTCACTCTGTGTGTGTGTGTGTGTGTGTGTCTGTGTGTGTGTGAAATTGAGTGCGTGTGTATGTGCGTGCGTGCCCTTTTTTTTGTTTTTTTTTGTTGATAGCTTCTGTTGGTTGCTTTGTTGATTGCTTTGTTGGCTGGCAAGTTGTTGAGTTTAAAAAGGACATCACAGTATTTGAGACATTTTCCAAAAGTGCTTCTTCACCATGTGCAGAAGGCAGTACAGAGTTCCAGTTTTGATTGTACAAGTAGTAGTCTGACTGTATATCAATTTTGTTTTTTTTTCTTTTGGAGTTGAGGGTCTGGTTAGCTAGTCGGTTGGTTGGTTAGCTAGTCGGTTGGTTGGTTAGCTAGTCGGTTGGTTGGTTAGCTAAACCATTGGTTGGTTAGCTAGTCGGTTGGTTGGTTAGCTAAACCATTGGTTGGTTAGCTAGTCGGTTGATTGGTTAGCTAGTCCATTGGTTGGTTAGCTAGTCGGTTGGTTGGTTAGCTAAACCATTGGTTGGTTAGCTAGTCGGTTGGTTGGTTAGCTAGTCCATTGGTTGGTTAGCTAGTCGGTTGGTTGGTTAGCTAGTCGGTTGGTTGGTTAGCTAGTCGGTTGGTTGGTTAGCTAAACCATTGGTTGGTTAGCTAGTCGGTTGGTTGGTTAGCTAGTTGGTTGATTGGTTAGCTAGTCCATTGGTTGGTTAGCTAGTCGGTTGGTTGGTTAGCTAAACCATTGGTTGGTTAGCTAGTCGGTTGATTGGTTAGCTAGTCCATTGGTTGGTTAGCTAGTCGGTTGGTTGGTTAGCTAAACCATTGGTTGGTTAGCTAGTCGGTTGATTGGTTAGCTAGTCCATTGGTTGGTTAGCTAGTCGGTTGGTTGGTTAGCTAGTCCATTGGTTGATTAGCTAGTCGGTTGGTTGGTTAGCTAGTCCATTGGTTGGTTAGCTAGTCGGATGGTTGATTAGCTAGTCCATTGGTTGGTTAGCTAGTCCATTGGTTGGTTAGCTAGTCGGTTGGTTGATTAGCTAGTCGGTTGGTTGATTAGCTAAACCATTGGTTGGTTAGCTAGTTGGTTGATTGGTTAGCTAGTCCATTGGTTGGTTAGCTAGTCGGTTGGTTGGTTAGCTAGTCGTTTGGTTGCTTAGCTAGTCAGATGGTTGTTTAGCTAGTCAGATGGTTAGATTAGCTAGTCGGTTGGTTAGCTCGTTGGTTCGTTAGTTAGTTAGTCTGTTGGGTGGTTAGCTAATCGGTTGGGTAGTTAGATAGTCTGTTGGGTGGTTAGCTAGTCGGTTTGTATCTTTGTTGGCAGATTTGCCAGTAGTCTGGCTGGTAGATCGATTTGTAAATTAGTTAACGGAAACACAATTTAACAGTGGTTTCGTCTCAGGAGGAATAGAAAAAAGGAGGCGTTAACCCCGCCCTACAGACGACACACAAACCTAGCTATGCGCGCACACACACACACAAAACACACACACACACACACACACACACACAAAACCACCGTAGCGTTTTTTATCCCACTGATGCCGAGAGATTCTTTTCTGTAAGCACACGCTGTGTGTCGCATTCACTGTCAGTTAATACATATTCCAAATAGTGGCACTTCAGTTTATAAAATGTGTTATTAGTTATTAGCAAATAATATCATCACTGCACTCCGGACAGATCCACGCCTTTTTTGTGTTGAGTAATGAAACGTTCTGTCCCCTTAGTGAAATATTCATTTCTTGCACGTCGTCACGGTAGCATGGCGTTGATAACATCGCTTCTGTAAAGTGCTGGATCAGCGATAGAAACCTCAGTGTCTGCAAGATAATCTGCACGCTCGTTCCCTTCAACGCCCAATGACCTGGCGCAAAGTTGAAGGTTAGGACAGCCAATATCGAAGTGCTTAGTCTTGCAATCCATTCTTCTCTGATGAAACCAACCTGTGTTTTTTTTTTTTTAAACATATTAATCGAGTCACTAAGTATGCCCGCTTTTGTGAACACTTGATAACTAAGCCATGCTAATGCCCTTGTAAAACTATGGTTTCCATTGTATGGCTGCTAGTGGTAACAGTAAAGGTGCTTCTTATCTAATTGCTGGTTAAAAAAAAAAAAAAATGCCCCCCCGCCCTCTTTTCAAAATGGACCTTGGATTCCAGGTGAGCCCAGCCAAATTTGACTTTAAATCCAGGTAGACTCAACCACAATGGAACTTGGATTTCAGGTAGAGCTAGCAAAAATGCACCTTGAAATCCAGGTGGACTCAGTCAAAATTGACTTTGGATTCCAGGTAGGCCCAGCCAAAATTGATTTTGGATTCCAGGTGGACCCAGCCGTAATGGACTTTGGATTCCAGGTGGACTCAGCCAAAATGGATCTTGGATTCAAGGTGGACCTAACCAAAACGTATACCAGGTATTGTCCTGGGAAGTAAAGGCGGCAGGTGTGTTGTTGACCACTTAACCCGCCAAGTGCTGAATGGCCAATAAAACAATAAATCTGGTCATATTTGCCATTTGCCTCTCATATAAGTGTCTTTAAAAAAAATGTTTTTCTGTAGACTATTTATGAATGAGTGAATCAAGAATTGACATCACTGCACTCCCACAAGTGCTCCATCACCTCCTAGAACCAAAGAAGAGATTCCATACTGATAAAGTGCCAAGTGCAACTGATCAAATGTCCACCCTTCTTTTACTTTTTGCGCCAAACCACGAACGGCTCGATCTGAAAAGTCGTGCTGCTGACGTCACCAGCTCGGGCTAACAATGCATTAACGCAGCGGTTCTCAAGCTGGGTGCCGAGGCATCATGAGGTGCCGTGAGAGTATTTCAATAATTGAGAAAAGTCGGCTAAAGGTTATAACATTATTAAATAAGACATGTAGATACTTAAAAGTTAAAATTTAAGCTGTCTTCCCTCGCCACTGCCGAAAAATATCTTTTTTTTAAAATACTGCTGCAGTAAAGCATCGTTAGCCCGACGAGGTGACGTCGCAGCATAACCCGTCAGCTGAAGCCGGTCGTGACCAAACCCTCTGCTCACTGCCAGATGAATTAATCTTTCGAGATATGGAAACTGTCTCTGTTCCTTTGAAATCTCCACTTAATTTCGGACAGCCTTCATGACATCGACTTTATCATAAAGTGACTTATCACCCAGAGGTGCGACAGCCGCCAGTCTTTCATGTCTGCTCATTCTCGTCAAGGCTTAGACATCCAGAAATAGCAACATTATTTTTTTGTCCACATCATAATAGCACTGGGATCCAAAAATTCACAACTTTGCTGTCATCAGAAAATGTGCTGGGCTATATATTAAAAATAATTGTAAAACGAATCTGGCTACATCACCTGATTCGTCGTAAACAGACGGGCGCACTAGCAAACAGACAGATATGAAGGTAGGCAAGTTGGAAGGGAGACACGCGATCAGATAAGCAGGTAGGCAGACAGTCGCTTCCATTATTATTAGTTATTAAACACACAGCCCTACTTCGGAGGGATTTCAGTCGTTTGATGACAGAATTTAACAAGTGTTTGAAGGTGGGAGTTGAAGGTAAGATTTCGGTTGATGATCAGGCCTAAAGCTTTGTGCTCAGTTACACTTTCTAGTGGGGTGTTGCTGACATAGAGTTGAAGGGTTCTATGTTAATTTAAAGTGCGCAGTTTTTGTGTCCTGTTTTTAACATAGATATGGTCTTATTTCTGTTGATCTGCATGCGGTTTGCATAGCTCCAACTAACCACATTGTTTAATTCTTGTTGCAAAGACAGCTCTAGTACATTACAAGTTTGAGCATTTGTAAAGATGGTACAGTCATTAGGGAATAAATCTCACGACGACAACAGACATAAGGGCAGATTTTTTTATATAAATTGTAAAAAAAAAAAAAAAAACAACAGAGGTCCAAGAATAGAACACTGGGGAATTCCAGTATTGAAAGCAAACAGACAGACATGCATATTAGATAGATAGATAGATAGATAGATAGATAGATAGATAGATAGATAGATAGATAGATAGATAGATAGATAGATAGATAGATAGATAGATAGATAGATAGATAGATAGATAGATAGATAGATAGATAGATAGATAGATAGATAGATAGATAGATAGATAGATAGATAGATAGATAGATAGATAGATAGATAGATAGATAGATAGATAGATAGATAGATAGAGAGAGAGACGGACGGACGGACGGACGGACGGACGGGACGGACGGACGGACGGACGGACGGACGGACGGACGGACGGACGACGGACGGACGGACGGACGGAGACGGACGGACGGACGGACGGACAGACACGGACGGACAGGCAGGCAGGCAGGCAGGCAGGCAGGCAGCAGGCAGGCAGGCAGGCAGACAGACAGACAGACAGACAGACAGACAGACAGACAGACAGACAGACAGACAGACAGACAGACAGACAGACAGACAGACAGACAGACAGACAGACAGACAGATAGATAGATAGATAGATAGATAGATAGATAGATAGATAGATAGATAGATAGATAGATAGATAGATAGATAGATAGATAGATAGATAGATAGATAGATAGATAGATAGATAGATAGATAGATAGATAGATAGATAGATAGATAGATTAGATAGATAGTTATAAAGATGCAAATTCTTGTAGTTAATACCAAAGTTAGCAGATAAATGAGCATAATAAATTGGTACCTAAATAGGCAGATAAGTTAGAAATACGTGTAGCGTGTGAACTCGATAATAAGTTCTGGCCACTAGCTCATTTTTCAGGTCGACTACCACTTGTCCGTGACACAAAATGTTTAGGTAAAGTCCGAGCGCGGACATTTCTCCACGTTCTTCTTGATAGGGAGCTCAGTCGTGCGGGGGACAAGAGCGCCATTATAGAAAACGTGATTTGGTCTCACATTTTCAGACATTGTCCTTTGTCTAGACAGGGAGTCTTAAACAACTGTTGTTTGTGGCCTTCAGG